CTACCCCATATGATTTTGAGTACGGAAATGGTAGCTGTTGCTCAAGCTATAAAAAGGGCCTACTACATCTTGCTCGGCATCCTCATGCCGCCGTCCAGCCTCAACACGGTCCCGTTGAGCATGACATTCTCCACGACATGCCTCACGAGCGCCGCAAACTCCTCGGGCTGGCCCGGGCGTCTCGGAAACTCTGTGGCGCCGACGAGGCTCTTGCGCACCTTGTCAGGTAGGACGCTCGTCATTCTTGACTCGAACAGGCTCGGCGCAATAGTGGCGACGCGGATGCCGTGGCGCGCGAGGTCGCGCGTCATGGGCAGCGTCATGGCGACGACGGCGCCCTTGCTCGCGGCGTAGGCGACCTGGCCGCGCTGGCCGTCAAAGGCGGCGGCGCTCGCGACCATGACGACGACGCCGCGCTCGCCGTCGGGGTCCGACGCCGGCTGGGCCGCGAGGTGCGGCAGCGTCTGGCGCACGAGGTCGATGGTGCCGCGCAGGTTGACGGCGAGGACAAAGTCAAAGTCGTCGAGGGACAGCGGCTCGTTGTCACGGCCGAGCATGGCGGCCGGCAGGCCGACGCCGCGGCGGGGATGACACCGCCGAAGGGCTTCTTTGCGGACGCGGCCCAGGGCGGCGGCGCCCTCGACGGCGGACGTGACGGACGCCGTCTCGAGAACGTTGCAGGGGAAGAAGCGGGCCGAGGGGCCGAGGGACTGGGCGAAAGCCTGACCGTCTTCCTCGTTCATGTCTAGAATGGCGACGTTACCACCGTGGTTGACAATCTCGGTTGCCGTTGCGGCGCCCAGGCCGGAGGCACTGGATGTGTTGTTAGTGACGTGGACTGGCATGTGAGAAGCGACAGAGGACCAACCCGCCGGAGATGAGGAACGTGCGGCCTTCAATCTTCATTCTGGTATTTTGGCAAAAGTGATAGTATAAGAATGAGGAACAGATTGAGAATAGATGTGAAATGAAGCCAGACAAGTGAACGCTGTTGAGGAACGAGGATCATCCGTCTTACAGACTCAACTCGGCTCGACACTGATGCCTCGGCCCAGGTCGTGATACTGGTCTTATCTTATCACAAAAAGAGCTCCAGCCACAGATCAGTCTCGCCCCGCTGTACAGGGTCGCGCCACAAAATTAATTAAACGACCCTCCTTAGGCGTCATCCCAGTGACCAAGCTCGTGCGTGCTCCCTCCTGGCTGCTGCGAGCCAAAACGGCTGATAACCGTCCAACGCACCAACCCTTTGTAACGTCACCCCGCGCACGCGACAATACACACGCCTCGACGCGACCTCAACGTCGCTCCTCCCTCCTCCTCTTGCGACCGATCTTTCTGTGCATTTTAGTGTACTTTGTTCGATAGTCCGACCGAGCTTCAACCTCGACCCCTTTACTCCGCCATGACGAGACCGCGCAAATCAAGCGCAGCGAGCGAGGAGAGCACCGGCACGGCCGGCGACCAGGTGCGCGAGCGATGCGATAAGGCCCGACAGACACACGGGCACGCCGAAATGCTGATGCGCGAGAACTACAGGAGCTGGGGAGCATGTACGATTACCTCGCAAAGATTATTCTGCTGGGACCGAGCGGGTCGGGCAAGTGAGTCTTTCCACCGGCGCCATTTTCCGTTTCCTCGACGTGACGCTGCGACAAGGACGATACAGAGAACGGCTGGCTAACAACAGCGCGCAACCCTGTAGATCCTGCCTCCTGCATCGCTTCGTGAAGAACGAATGGCGCATCCTCTCCTCACAGACCATCGGCGTCGAGTTTGCGAGCAAAATCATCAAAGTCGGGACAGGTGCGCGGCGAAAACGCATCAAGCTTCAGGTGCGGTCATGCGCGATGCCAACAACCACACAAAGGGAACAGAATGTGGGAAGCGAACACACGGGAGGCTGACTAGGACATAGCTGTGGGACACGGCAGGCACAGAGCGGTTTCGGTCGGTATCGCGGTCTTACTACCGCGGCGCCGCCGGCGCGATCCTCGTTTACGACATCACCTCACACGCAACCTTTCGGGGGCTGAGTCCGTTCCTCAACGACGCGCGTGCGCTTGCGAGCCCGAACCTTTCGCTGCTGCTGGTCGGCAACAAACTCGACCTCGCATCGGACAACCCCGTGGAGCCGCTGATGCCCGCGACGCCGAGCAGTGTAGGGTCATCGTCGACAGCCATGGGCATGGGCATGGGAAGTCTAGGGGCCGGCGGCACGATCGGTCGGGGCCAGAATGCGACGGTGGCACCCGACGGGAGGGAGGTCAGCAGCGACGACGCCAGCAGATGGGCCAGCACGGTCGGTGTTCCGGTGGTCATGGAGACGAGCGCGTTCACAGGCGAGGCTGTCGACGAAATCTTTGCGCGGCTCGCGAGGATGATTCTCACAAAGATTGAGCTTGGCGACATTGACCCGGACGACCCGATGAGCGGCATCCAATACGGAGACGGATACGGCGGGGGCTGGAATGCGGCGGCCAGTGACGGAGCGAGTATCA